AATTGAGTCGTGGCGATTAGAGGTTGGGCACTCATGTCCACTAAATTTGAAAGACGACGTTGAATTCAGAATGATTAGGTGTTTGCCTCTGGCTTTTTGGAAGAGTTCTGCGGACTTGCATTTCCTAACGGGCGCTGAGACTATTTGCACACTAGTTCAATACCACCACATGCAGGGCAATCTCCACCGGGAGGGCGCAGCCGTGATAGGGCATACCGGCAGAAGATCGCATTTCAACGAGGGCTCTGCTTTTCAGTTCATGCTAGTCAAGCTAGTCAAGCTAGTCCGCAGTGTGATGTGACTGTAGCCCAAAAGGTCTGATGATTGGTCGGTTTCCCGCCAGGAGTCTCACTAGATGCCGGAGTGGCTCAACGAGTAACTGAGACGAACCAGCTGCTTCTTTTCTATCTGGGGGTAGAAGGTCGCGATAAAGCGGCGGACCATTGCATGCTCTTGCCTTCACCCAATTGGCTCGGGATGCTTATCATCTTAGTAGACAATCTAGAATGTGAGAACGCATGCAAACAGACGGGAAGTCTAGCGGCCCGCAACCGGGTCGAAAGCGGATTTGGGGTAATTAGCCATTCTTCAGAAAGCATGCGTAAAGCGTGCGTAAACAGGACAGCATGCAGGTGGAGATAACTCCGAGCTTCACAGCTCCGATAATGTCTCAGACAAGACATTGGTGATCATCCGACTAGCTTTCAGCTTGTCAGTGCTAGCTTTGCAATTGTCTTGAGGGGCCATGTCAAGGGATGTCTGACATACCAAATCTCACACTCAGCCCTGAGGCGTTCGGATCGGTAGCGAGTTCAGGGTCAGAAAGCCATATGTGCCGTCTTCAGTCTAACACTGCTCCAGTTGTTGGGAATCGTCGCGGGGAGAAATGTAGTGGAAACCCTGATCCAGCCTTGCAATCATGGAAGCAATCCCACTGGGACCACGGAAACTTCACTTTCAAGCCTCAATCATTCGATCACTATAGAAAGCATTCAAGTTACGGCGCGGCATGTGAAAACACTTGTCACTTTCAGCATGTGATAGTAAGACACCAAGGATTGCCTGAAGTTCCTCCCTGGTGGCCATCACATTTGGCATTTTAGGGCATCAGGAAAGCCTCAACAGTCCTAAACGTTGAAGCCTCTCCAGACTTCAGATCACATTTCAAGGGAATTAGGAGTAGTATTTGATCCAGCTATCCGGCAGCATCGCGGCTACTCGATGTCATTTCTATTGACAACTTATTCCATCGAGACTATTAGCCGCACGTGCCTCTAGAGATGGCGGCAGTCGAAGTCACCTACTCCCTTCCGAAGGATGTCAACGAGAAGAAGCTAGAGGTCCGGACCGGCTCGGACATTCGCCTCCGTAAAGAGAACCGCGGAGCAGATGTAACATGGAACGGCACCGACCCCTTCCTTAAGCAGCCTTACTACTACACAGGTGCTCCCTGGACCCTTCTGGCAAGCGACTTGCTCCTGTTCTGCAAGAACATTGCTTTCCTACCATGCATTGTCCTACCACTCTGGTCGCAGCCCCCGGCTCGCTCCTTCAACCTCGGAGTCGATAACCGATTCAAAGAGCAGCCTCGATTTCTCGTGAGCCAGCTCCATCGACGCTTCGAAGCATGGGCTCAACGCTACTTCCACTCTGGACCCATGGACGAGCTGTACCCCTCTTGGAACAACATTCGTGACATCATTTTCCACTCCATTCTCATCGTCACTCAATCAGCCTTCTTGATCTCCCTTCCTTTTCTCTCCTTCTTCTCCTTTAACATCTTTGTTGCCTACGTGGGCCTTTTCATCGGCATCAACTATTTAGCGTGCATCGGGCTCAATGGCTGGATGCCTGAAGGATTTATCTGGTCGGCCGACACTCCCGCAGCGCGAGAGTGGGAACTGAATCACCCCGAGGAAGAGTGGATTTTCCTCAACGGTGTTGCTGTCGGGTAAGGACTTTTGGCCTCAAAACACTCATTGCATGAACTAAGCATACATCTACAGCAAGAACTGGCTCCAGAGCAACATTGACCGAATTTCCGTCACTTTCCATCGGAGAGTGAAAGGTGTTCACAACAAGACGTAGGTGAGAAGATTCTATGCTATCGAGACCCACACTGACATTGTTTACCAGTGCTGGCATCATCTTTGATGTGATCCAATGCCTCCTAGAGCGCTGCCTCTATTTCGGTACCACCGATACCCGAGTCTGTTTTTCGCACATTTCCACCGCCCTGCTCAACCAAGACAAGAAGAAAGTCATCCTCATTCTCCACTCTCAAGGTGGACTGGAAGGAAGCATCATCCTGGACTGGCTCATCAACCAACACCCCCGTGAAGTCCTGCAAAAGCTTGAGATCTACACCTTCGGCAACGCCGCAAACCACTTCAACAACCCCCGCACCAAGAGGGACCACGGCATTCCCAGACCCAAGGGTCGTGCCATCCGCCACATTGAGCACTACGCCAACTCGAAAGACTTTGTCTCTCGGTGGGGTGTCCTCCACTTCAAGAAGCAGACTGCCAAGAGAGATGGACGCTTTCTCGGGCTTGGAGAAATCGCCGGTCTTATTTCCGTCAACAAGAAGACAGAGGTCATCAAGGCCGTGGGGAAGACTGAGCCGAAGCAGGCGAATCACCTCAGTCCTGACTGGAACGAGTTTGAGGGTGCGCTTATTGAGCGACCTGGTTCTGGTCATCAGTTCAACCAGCACTATCTTGACAACATCTTTCCTCTTGACAATAATTTGAGCAAGGTACAAACAAATGGGGATGGTTCGCCCCTCCCGGGCACCTTCATGGCGTCCCGCACCAAGGTTCACAATGATCCTTGGAAAATTGATGAGCAGCGCAATCTCACGAACGGGGTTGATGGTACTGCTCACCATCACCTCAACGGTGTGGTTGAAGGACCCAAGGTGTATGAGGTCAGCCGGCTTTGGAAGTTTGTCAACGGCCGACGACCAGAGGACTACTCTTGAGAAGGTCCGTGAGCTGTTATCCCAGAGAAGAGCAGCTTATTAGGTACATGTCGGTCAGACTAGCGTTAAGGAGTCTCGGATACCGATAATATTCAAGTAATTGGAACGCTTCTGTAGAACTATTCAGAGATGTAAATCTTTAATAGCAAAATAGTGGTTGATATTTGGCCGGTCACTGAAACCCAACTATGCACAATTGATATCTGATACGAAGTCCCAGAGTCTTTCGCTGACTATGTAAGGTAGGAGACCTTCTCGATTCCACTTGCGCGTTGACTGCCACGGTCTTGCACCCTGCCTCACGGCATATGATCATTGTGACGAAGCTCTTTGCCGCTTATGGTCATCCGAATCATCGACATCGGACCCGGCTGCTCTCTTATTGCTGCTCTCCTGGCCACCAGTCTCTTCGCCACCGGATCCAGACCCAGACCCGGATCCTTTGCTCTTCTCCTCATTGCTGAAGGACTCGTAATCCTCCGAGTCGGATGTAACTGAAACCTCTTCAGATGTTTGATCTTGTTGGGGCTCTTGATGCTGCTGCTGCTGCTGCTGCTGTGCTTCCGTTACCTCTTGCTCGACACGTGTCTTCACCATGGCTTTGGCCGTCGACTCTCCTTCCGACCCGCTCTCATCTCTTATCGCATGCGGAGAGATCTGGCTCATCAACCTTGCCTGCATCGCACTCTCGCCGGCCTGCTAGACAGTCAGTAGCCATCATTCAGGGCAACACACTCCCGAACACATACTGGAGACAGAATGCCCTCCAATATACTTTATGTCTGGGATGGGATCGCTGCGACGGGAATGGGAGGATAAAACAACTCACAACCAAGGTCACCGTGTTCCTCAAAGCGTCAGACTCCCTCCGAAGCCGAGCCCTCTGCTCTGGAGATAATTGAGGAGTCTCAACATCGAACGGTCCACGAACCCTTGTGGGGTCTGAGGTCCCTGCAGATCCCGAAACACTGTGATTGCCACTCATATTTATGGTCCAATTACCGCTTCTCGATGGTGAAGTCGACGTTCCGGATGTTTGGTTTCCTGCCTCAGTATACCTACGAGACACTCCTATCCGATACTGGACTGATACGAAGCCATCGCTCACAGCGAGTTCTTATATACATTGCCATAAACACCTGCACTACTCTATGCTTGGGATTCTACTGCAATACTCGACCTTTGGACTCTAGGCTACGTACAAACAGTCTTCTTTCAAAGATGAGTCCTTTCACGATCTTACCGCCCGGCCAAGCGCTGGACTCGCGAGGCAGAGCATTTGATCAGTTCTGCCGTCAGCTCGTTTTTCACACCCGTGAGATGGCTATTCAACTTTCCGATTTCTTTGGCTAATGATAAAGCGAAACTGATCACAGTGTGGTGGGCGGTGAAGTACATCAAGCCCAAACGAACAAACACAGTGTACCGACAAACAGAAAGTCCGGCTTTGAGTGCCCACCAGACTTTCCATGATCAAGGGGGAAGCATGTCACACTTTTCTTTAACAAAGGACCAAGTTCCGACCATGAGGTCTTCGAATCGTATTCGAGATGGCTGCGAGGCGGCAGCTTCATCCTCATTGGAGCGATACCCGCCAACAAGCGAGGGTTGCACGACTCCATCGCTTATTGCGACACCGCCAAGATACTATCCTGTAGCACAACTGAGCAACGAGTATAACGATGGGTTTTAATCGATGATGAGGTAGGTAGAGTCCTATCCGCAACAGTACCAATGTGTTGCAAAAACATCGACTACCTTCGCGGTTCGTGTGTGTCAATACTTCAGCTCACGTCGCAATTCTCCATCGTCCGACCGTGTAATGTTGCGGTGTTGTAGCCGGCAATAACGCGGCATACACATCGGCGCCATGATTACCGGCTCTCCAGCATCGCCGACTTCGCTCCGACGAACGACCCTTCAATTACCATGTATAAAATCATAAAAAGAACATCAAACATCAACCAGAGCACATCAAGCTGCAACATACACTCCTCCCAAGCCAAATGACGTCATCATGGCAACCCTCAGCACCGCAACGTGGATAGCCTCACTCACCTACAACGACCTCCCTCAGGGCGTTAAAGAAGCAGCCGTACGCTCCTTCTACAACTGGGTCGGCTGCGCCATCGGCGGAAGCTCCCATCCGACAACCCTGACGGCAACCAAAGCCCTCTCGCCCTTTTTTGGAAAGGAAACTTCTTCAGTACTTGGATTCGATCGTCGCATCGATGCGCAACACGCCGCTCTCATCAACGGCATCGCGTCGCATGTCCACGATTACGATGACACGCATCTCGAGACGATTGTTCATCCGACTGGATCCGTCGCGTCCGCGCTGCTGAGTTACGCAGAGACGCTGCAGCGCCCGGTCGCGGGGGAGGAATTCATCACGGCATTGGTCGCCGGCATCGAGGTTGAGTGCAAGGTAGCCTTGGCCGTATACCCAGAGCACTATGATATCGGATGGTACCCTCCTCTCACTCTTCCCACGTTCACATAATTGCGGAGGCTAACACTTCTTTCAAGGCACATCACAAGCACAACAGGCTCCATCGGCGCCGCCGCCGCCATCGCAAAACTCCTCGCCCTCCCGGCAGACAAAACAGCCCACGCCATCGGCATCGCCGCAACGCAAGTCACTGGCCTACGCGAGATGTTCGGCTCTGACACGAAATCATTTCACGTCGGACGCGCCGCCCAGAATGGGCTTCTTGCTGCCGTCTTAGCTGCAGAAGGATTCACGAGCTCACCCAAGGCGCTGGAAGCTGAGCGGGGCTGGGCCAAGGTCGCCAGTACGAAGGAAAACTTGAATGAGCTTGTTCAGAGTCTTGGACAGGGAGGGCCGGGCAAGTGGGAGATTGAGAAGAATTCGTTCAAGCCTTTTCCGTGTGGCATCGTTATCCATCCGGTTATTACGGGCGCTGTATGGCTGCATCATGAACTGAAGAGACGAGGCATCTCCACGGAGGAGGTCGCGAGTGTCGACGTGACGGTTCATTATCTTGTGCTCGAGCTCACTGGTAAGAAAACACCAAAGGATGGTCTTGAAGCCAAGTTCAGCGTTTACCACGGCGGCGCGGTGGGCTTGTTGTATGGGAGGGCGACTGTAGTTGAGTACGAGGACGCACTGGTCACCAGCGCGGCTGTTGTTAGCTTGAGAGACCGTTTCAAGGCGACAGTTGACGAGTCTATGAGGGCCGATGAGTGTCATTTGGTGGTCAAGCTGCACGGTGTCGAGGACCCGATTGAGAAGCACGTCAACCATGCACTTGGAAGCGTCGAAGTGCCCATGTCGGATGACCAGCTGACGGAGAAGTTCATCACGCAGGCGGCGCTTCAGGTTGGTGCGGAAAAGGCAGAGAAGGCAAGTCAGTGGTGTTGGGGTGTGGTTGGATCAGGGGACATGAGAGAGCTTGGAGGGATTGTCTAGTTTCAGTTGGTAGTTTGCCTTCCATGGTTCAGCACTCACCTATTGACCCCAGTGCCTGAATTACCTCGATGATTTGGCTAGCAAAGTAACTCTTCATGTTCTATTGGCAAGACCAAGGACCAAAGCGGCCCGTTCTCTAGTAGATACAAGCTTTTTACCTCTCCTTTGAGAAGACAATGAATGCAACGCTGCATTTGTACACAGTCTCAGTGCCAAGAAGGCATACACAAGTGCTCGTGAATATCTCCAATCAGAACAATGACTCTTCTGGCACAATGGCCGGAAACCAGAGTATCTCGTTTCCCCATCCCAATGGCCTGCCGTATGTGAACCCTTATCTTGCATTCCCAAAGTGAAGGCACCATCCTGCAGCATTGCCCGTTGAGTGCGTCTGGGCTTAGCGCACAGTGACGTTGATAGGGCGCACGGTTGGCGAATGGAAGGCCCAGTTAGTTGTAGTGAAAATCGAGACCCTCAGATGCGTCCACGCGTTCGGGCCAGACCCAGTCGTCGGCCACAGAAGATTCAGAAAGCTCCGAGTCTTCTTCTGGAATGGTCTCCAGATGGCTGCAGAGAGGCTCCCACTCCATAGATGAGCCAGAGGTATCTGTCGAAGGAGACTCGTGACTAGCATCGATCTCGACCTGGTTGCAGCGGTACATCATCATGCGCTGAGCCCTCTCGGTCTGGTAGTAAGTCTCGGCAACCATGAACTTGATGTCACTCTCATCATCTGCGTCGTAGGCAATATCGTCAACGATGCTTGGCAAAATCTCCTTGTTGGGCGTGGATGAACCCCCGGTGGTGAATTTCAGCTGGCCCTAGTGAGTTTCCAGCCGGTCAGCTCAAGTTACCGTGCAGTTCTTTGAAGCTCTGATTGCTTGAGTGAGAAAGAAATGGGAATATCATCATACTTGGTTCTCTGGGATCTTGGAGTCATCTCTCTCGCAGCCCTGCTTGGGGTGGTCCCTGGTCTGACGGGGCAAAGTATTCTTAGTGGCCTTGGCTAGAGAGTCTGGGTCATTCGAATTTCCAGTATGGCCGTTTGAGGTCTTCTCGGGGCTGTGGACTCGGGCCTTTTTCTTGCAAGGCTGAGGGGCGAGATCATCGTGTGTGTCGGACATGGTCTTGTTCTTGGATGCCATTTTGCGCAGTCGATGCGAAGGAAATGCGTTGCTTGCTCAAGTTGAAATGCAGGGGAGCTGTAATCGTAATTGGGATGAAAGTGAGGAAATGCTGGTATGTTGTAGTGGAAAGTGTGCGCGATGAGTGCATTGGTGGGATATGGATGAGGCGAAGGTTGTGATCATTCCATCTTCGGTGGAAGAGATGTGGGGCATCACTTTGCCGGCTCCCAAGAAAAGGTCAGAGGTACGCTGGACTGCTGCACGTGACGCAGGATTTCAATGAAAAGGTGGGAAGGAGCTGCCTAGGGAAGTAGCTGTCGGGAAAGGGAAGGAAGCAAAAAGAGGAGAGTATAAGCATGCCCTACCTACCTACAACTTGTCCACGAAGCTGTCTCATTTCAGTGGGCATAGCTTATACGATTGAACGTAAGGTAAAATGCTGGCCAGAACTATCCGCAGCCTGCTATTATCCGCTACTCTAAGGTAGGCAGGTACCTTAATCAATTATAAAGCAAAATATATACAAATAATCAAGGGCCAAAGGTCTAGAAAACAAAAGAGTTCACCCCCCCGGTGCTGAACTGGGGGCTACATCTCTAGTGCTCATGCTGGGATTCGAACTCGTGTGCTCTCGTATGCGCTAAGCCTGTCGTCGAGTAGGCTGGTTGGCGAATTGATTGTTGACCATGAACCGTTCCACCACCACGCCACAGTTTGACCTGAACCCCGGCCTAGGGGTCGCCTGCTGCGCTGGTGACAGAAACAGAGTTGAGGGTGTATATGAAGGTCTCAATCCATCGGATGAGAGTCTGCTGGTACGTATCCATGGATCCTCAGGTGCGAGGGTGGGAAGGCGCTGACACGGAGCCATTGAGGTGCCTCCTTCCCGCAAAACATTTTCTCGGATGGACCCACCTAAACGACCACCTCACACGCCGTACTTCTAGTGCTCAATGTACCTCGCCGTGGAAGTTGAAGGCCGTACTTCTTCTTCTCGTTAAACTTGCCAGGAAGCCTTGATCCTACCATGGCACTCTTGAAGCCTCGACCGTAAACACCTTACTGACCCCACGGAAACATATCTCGGCGCCGGCGTGGTCCTCAGTAACCTCCTCGCTTCTACTGAAGAGAATAATGTAAGGTGCGATGGTGACTTTGACGATAGAATTTTACATACGGACTCTAATACGAATAGGAGACAGATTCTCTATCGAGGCCACTTTGTGATTTGTCTTCTTCTTTTTATTTGGCCCGGAATCAAGTGGATCTTCTTTACGACAAGAAATTTACTTGAGGTATCCTATTTCACCCTTCTAAACAGCTACTGCATTCTTCTTCAGGAGAACAGGCAAAGATCAAAAAAGAAACGTATCACACAAACCCTGAGTGACATTCTGCTGTTAATATTCTACAGGTGAATCGCGTACCGCTCTCGAGATATTCGCCCAAGTGCATTTTAATGTTCGCCAGACGTTGGGTTGACTGTCACTCGTCGATTCTGGTTGGTCAGAGCTGCGTGAGGTGGGGCACCCCACGTTGTAGGTGCACTTTGTACTACGTACTTCGTGCTTCTAAGGTAGAGGATCGATCATGCCTTTCCATCTTCAGATGCCTCCGGCCGCCTAAAGGTAATTCCAACGACCTGGAGGTTTTGGCCCAGGGAACCCTTCCCAGATTCAGAAGACCCTTTGCTCGAAGTTTTCCTCTCGCCATTCTGTGGTGTTTAATAATTTGCGTCAGAAGCTATGTTACGGAGACTTGGTGACGTTACGTAGGTAGTTGAGGACAAGACTGGCACCCGGCAGGTACTGTGGGCCCACGGCGAGTACCCTTTCCTTCCCATGGTGACGCTGGTCATCGGAAAGGAAGGAAGGGAAAATTCCAACCATTTCTCTTCCAATCCAAAGCGACAACATTTTACCATCGCTTGATCGTTCAGCTTACACATTCTGACTTCAATAAGAGGAGCGTGCGAAATCCGGTGCGACAAATGATTCCAGGCACCCCAGGCCCCACTGCAAAGGTCGACGCCAAGTCGGGGTAAAGCTGGCCGAAGAGTGAGGGGCATTTTGCCTTGCGCTGTGGAAATTAGGCGACCACTCATCTCACCAACTCTTACCTAGGTGCTCGATTTCCATCAACCGCCTTGCCAGGTTTGCCTTAAGGTTACGGTTTACGAATAATCCAACACCTGAAACCAAATCGCCGGCCTTTTTCTTCCCTCGATGGGCCCCTAGCCCTCAGCTGCGAACTTCTTGACATCCAACATGTCGCGCACACCGTGAGTGCATGTACTTGCTCTAGGTCCCGCCAAGAGTATGAAGCGCCCAAGCTCACCACATCACGCTCTCAGGAGCCATGTCTTAGTCACTGGCGCTACAGGATTCATTGGCGCGCACGTCGTGGATGTTCTCCTGTCCCGAGGGTTCAGGGTCCGCGGAGCCACCCGATCTCTCGCCAAAGGGAATGCCATGATCAAGGATCGGCCCGAGAACGCCGGCAAGCTCGAGTTTGTCCAAATTGGTGATTTTGAGAAACTTGGTGTCTTCTCTGAAGCCATCAAAGATGTCGACGCCGTGGTTCACGTCGCCAGTGTGAGGATTCTCCTGACGCTATAGAGGCCAACATCGCTTGAAATTTTATTAATTGTTTCATGCAGCCATTTACCTACGACACCAAAGACAACGAGAAGGAATTGATTATACCAGCCATCAACGGTGTCCGCTCTATCCTTGAAGCAGCCGTCACCAATCCCAAGATCACTCGAGTGGTCATTACTTCCTCCTTCGCCTCCGTCCTCGACGTCAACCGCAAGGCACCACCATACTTTACATACACGGGGGAAGATTGGAACCCCTTGACCTACGAAGAAGCCGCATCTCCGGAAACAAGCGCCGTAGTTGCATACCGAGGTTCCAAGAAATTCGCAGAAAAAGCAGCGTGGAATTTCATACGGGAGCACAACCCCCGCTTCGACATCGTGACGCTATGTCCGCCAATGACGTTTGGTCCCGTGGTTCACCCCGTAAGCAGCGTCGACAAACTGAACGAATCGAACGCAATGCTGTGGAAGATTGCAAGCGGACAGAAGCCCCTGCCTGTTGCTCGGGTCCCATTCTGGATTGATGTCAGAGATCTTGCGGTGGCGCACGTGGAAGCGCTCTTTAGACCGGAGGTGGGTAACAGGAGGTTTGTTCCGGCCGCTAAGGATCGCTTTTCATATGGTCTGGCTGCCAAGATCATTGAAGACAACTTTGATTGGGCCAAGGGCAAGGTCGCGCGGGAAGAACAAGCGATCGACACTTCGCATGGACTGGATGGGGAGACGGTCGCGAGAGAGCTTGGCGTCGAGTACCGAACTTTTGATCAAACGGTCGTCGACCTCATTGACCAGGTTACGAAAATGGAAGGCGGGACAGTATGACTTCGGAAGAAATAGTATTACATTTATCAAAGGGCTGGGTGTTAGGGGCAATTAATAAGACAGCCACCTCAGACTATCCAAGCAAGAGTCTCTCAGTTTGTGGTCAAGGGCCCAATTCTGATCTGGACTATCGGTCCCCGGGCAAACCCGTTTGTGAAGGTCGACCGCACTTTTTAATCCGAGAATTACATATCATTGACTCGGCCTACAAGTCTTCTATCCCTGATTAACCCACGGCCGGGACACTTTCTGCCTAAATTGATGTTACTCTTGAGCGGAACGAGCCCTCCGTTGCGACAGGTAAGCGAACAACACAGAGTGTGATCTATCCACCTGCGCAACACGGCTGGCAGATCAATGACTAACTAGTCTCCGGAACCCATTTCTGCTTCTCCGAGTTTGAATTACCGTGGTGATGGTATCGGGCCGTATCGCCTTCTTAGCTTCGGAAGTGTCTCCGTGGAAAGGGAAGATGAGCTAATACCTGCGAATGGTCCTATACAAAAACAAGCGACATCTGCACGACTCTCCAGAATGTGCTGCTAGTGTTATATCTTCTTTCAGCCACCGGTTGTATTCCATATTGTGCTAATCTCATACACATCTTGTTCGATATCTTCCGTTTTCTGCGCACAGGCTGTCGCCATGAAGGTATCAGTGGTCTTGCTAGCGGCCTGCGCTGCTCTTGTTCAAGGACATTGCATCTTCCAGGTAAGCCTCCTTCATACCTTCATCAGATCCCCAGCTGACCGTCAACTTCCTTGCAGAAAGGCTCCGTAAATGGCAAAGAGTACGGCTCCCTCGCAGGTCTCCGAGCACCCAACCAAAACAACCCAACCGAAGACGTAACCTCCCAAGACATCATTTGCGGAAAAGTCGCAACATCCTCCCAGGAAGTCATCACGGTCGCCCCCGGAGACAAGATCGGCTCCTGGTGGCAACACGTCATCGGAGGCGCCCAGTACCCCGGCGACCCAGACAACCCAATCGCAAAGTCTCACAAGGGCCCCATCACCGCCTGGCTCGCCAAAGTCCCCAGCGCTTCCAGCACCGGGATCACAGGGCTGCAATGGTTCAAGGTCGCCGAGGATAATCTGGACACGAGCTCTGGGTTATGGGGCGTCGATAAGATGATCAACAACGGTGGCTGGAGCTACTTCAACTTGCCGCAGTGCATTGCCCCGGGGGAGTACCTGCTGCGTGTTGAGTTGCTGGCTCTCCATTCTGCTCATCAGTTGAAGGGTGCGCAGTTCTACATTTCGTGTGCGAATATTAAGGTCACGGGCTCTGGAAGCTTTTCACCTAGCTCGACTGTGAGCTTTCCGGGCGCGTACCAGCAAAGCGACCCTTCGATCTACATCAACATCTATGGTACTGGTGGTCTTCCAAACAATGGGGGCAAGGCGTACTCCGCCCCTGGACCGAGACCGATTACATGCTAGAGATTGGAGAAGAAGGCAGGAGAGTTCCCGGATAGGTTGACTGCGACTATATAGCTGCTGGTATCAATGCAATGCCATATGTGACATGGAGTATCGTTGTTTTTACAGAGTGGTTCGGAGTTTGTTTGAATGGAAGTCATCCGCCCGAGTTTCTCATTGATCACATTACACAACTCCTACACTCACACGACCGTCTTCAACCATGACACGCAAGTTAATGTTGATGCTCATCTCCGTCGCGTTCCCCGTAGAGTTCCTAGCGCCTTTCCCGGAGCCTATGCCGATGTCAGAGAGGTTGCCAGATCCCACATTGATGTTTGTTACTTCTGTAATGCGGTCGCCAATCTCAATCGTGTTTCCATCACCGATGGTGTTGTTACCGTCTCCGATATCAAAGTCGTCACCTGCACAGATGGGAAGCGTTAGCAAAAGCTTTCACAGGGTACTTGAGATACCATCGTCACCCGACTTCGTACCTGTGTCTATGTCATTCCCTGTGCCGGCGAACCCAACGCCGTTTCCGTCGCCGATTCCTCCAGAGCTGATTGACCCCGAGTTGCCAGTCTGGTTGCCGTTCACGCCATTGCCTACTTGACGCGGCGATATAGTGGGTAGGTGTTTGGTAATTGGGGTGAGGCTAAACTGGAAGGGTAGGCAGTGTGTCGTCGCGGCGCACAGGGCGAGAACCGCCATCAGGCAGATTCGTAGGCTGATGAACATGATGGTCTGCTCGCTCCAGAGTGGTGCGCTGGGCTGAAGTACGCTGATTGAGTTTGGCTGCTTGCCAAAAAGATTGTCATCAAGGCTGCTATGTGGTTGATTTTAAGCTTATCCCACTTGCAGAATGTCGTCAGAGACACAACTCCTTGAGCGTTCTCATCGCTAGAACGATGCCACTTTATTCTATTGAAACGACAAGCAAGCTAAAATTGGTCTTTTTGTCCATCGGGCTTCCCTTGCCAAGCCTGAAATATTGCACTCCTTAAGCTTCACAGCCCTCTTCGGATGAAGATACTGTATCGGCATTTCAATATAACTGCAGATACAGCACTAAATATCAAGTATAATGGCGGAGAGAATCAGATTTGTCGGCAGCTATTCTTAGAAGGCATTCTGGAGGTGAGGTTTGGAAGTTGATTCGCCGTGTGCTCACATATTTACCGCGGGCGAAGATGGAAGACCACTATCATTCTCACTCATCCTTGGTGGGCTGAAACCACGTGAATGGCCGGCAAATGAGGCATCCGGGCATACCGACGGCAATTGGTATTAGTAGAGGCGGTGCGGTTGAATGCTACGCCATCACGGGGGGCATTTACGAAGGCCTCCAACATCGCGTTTCACATGCGTTCCTTCCGAAATACGTCAATTCGAATCCCCTAAGAGCTCTTCTGTACCTTTACAAGCCCAGCAAGTGAAGACTGCTCCAGACGTAAAGGCTCTGAGAGGCAAAGTACGAATGAATTGAAGGATGCCTAAGGAGTTCTGCCCGCACTTCATGCTGCGGTTTATCTGTTGTCTCTCAACGCTATGAGCTCTTGTCAAAAGGGCAACTGGTGGCAATTCTGTTCGAGCAACCAACCCCATACAAATGGCACCAATGTCTGTGAACTTTGCTGAGATGCCTGCGGTATTCTTCTGGGCCAGTCATCTTCTGGTTTGGCTGCTGCCCAGGCTAATACGCAGCATTTCACAAACTGTTTGATCTAATTGAGCGAACCGAGACACTTGCAGAAATCTATAGACTTCTTCGATCCTTGTAAGCTACTTTCCCATGGGAAAAAGAACCAATAAATGTATGGAAAGGCCCTCAGGTAGTTCCTATAGGCTTCCTCATGAAGCAATGGCCCCCAATTGACAGTGGTTGACCCAAGCATCACTGCCCTTCGACTCCATCACTTACCTTACTCTTTGGTTTCTACGTAGGAACTCCCGTGAAGGAATTTCTGAACCGATTCTCACTAGCCATTGACCTAAATTTTCTGATTTCTTGGACAGTTCTCGACTTCTGGGCTACAGCGAATAGACTTCTAAAAAGAAATGAAGTTTCTAAAACATAACTTATCTACTTGTGACGTTTGAGTCAGCCATAGCCTCTTGGAGCACTGCTCGAGGAAAAACTCCACTATTGACGTCTATGTCATCTCCAATTGCTTGCTATGTCTCGTCTAGTTCTCACTTATATGACTGTTCCAGAATCCATCCTCTGGCTAAATCTTCAAACTTATTTTTCAAATCATTGTCAATGCTCAAGAATGTATGCTGTGATGAGATTCTAATTACGGCTATAGAACCTCAACCTGTAGAGTTTGAGATAGAGAGCAGTCGTTTGAACTCTCAGAAACGTAGAGCTGAGGGCGAACCTCTCTCCAGGTACTGTCATTTGGCGGTCAGGATCAAGAGGTAGTCGTCATTGACCCAAGATTTCTGATTTCATTAGAAGTATGTCTACCGAACGTTATCTTCGGTCCGTCGCCTTTTTTTTTTTTGACCTGTTTTTTCTTTTATTTCAGCGAAAAGTGCTGGAAAGATTTTATTCGAACTTAATCCTGCCTTTTGAAGGGCGCAAATATATTATTGGCTGTTTATTAGGGCTTTCTCTGTAGTTTCTTCCTCCTTACTGAGTTCAACTACCTTAATTCGTGATCATTCGATAGTCCAAGATTAGTACAATCGGTTGGCAGTGGCAAGTGATTTCTGTCCATTTTCCACTGGAAGAGAGACACTTACACGTAGGACAGTACTCGATTACAGCATCATATCTCAAGCCAAACAAGAACATGAAGAAAAGGCAACACCAGGAAACATTAGTTGTCGTCCTGTTGTCGAGAATCAGTGTGGTATGTACCAGATCTACGAGCTACGAGCTTAAAGACCTCGCAACGTAACAACAATTCTTATCAGTATATAGCCCAGGGAAGATACTCCAATGCTACTGAAGATGTTTGTCTATCTGATTCCCCAATAGAAGAGTACCACAAAGTTCTATCCAGCAGGAAAAGGAAGAGGTGAAAACTAAGACCCGAGCACCGCCAGCCTCTTATACAACCTCATGGAACCCAGAATGATCAACGAATTGAATACTTTGAGTTAATAGGGCTTCCCCGTTTCTTCTGCGACCCGGCCCTGTCGAGTCACTGTTTCTAGATATGCTGTGAATCGGGCTTACACCCTCCCCGAGATCACACTTGACAAAGCAGTACGTACTAGCAACGTAGATCACAAGCATGAAACAACATCACCTAATTCCTTGTCCCGGCTGGAGTCGTCAGATTACTTAATTGTCTAGAGTACCCGATCTGACGAACAACCTGCAAAGACACTCATGATGTTCAACACTCGTCACATCTCGGATCAACGCCAGTATAGGAGAGCATCTATTGCTATCATGTTGCTCATACGAAGCGTTGACAAGGGGTTCACTTGTCCAAGACTCCAAGTTGATGCGGTTTCGGATTCGAAATCCTTGTCATGTCCTGGGAAGTGGGGCGTCGAGATGGTGAAATAACGCGGTAAGCGCTCGACTGCTTAGCCGAAGGAAATATTTGGAATTGCAATTGAGATATGCGTAGTTTGTGGGATAGATCATCTCCGCAGAACCGCTTTCTCGCACTTCGTAAGGTTGACAAGCTTATCATCTTGTCGGAGACCGAATGATTAGGCGGGTTCTGTTTCCCGGTCAAGTGAGGCTGTTTTGATGAAATGTCGTAACTTGACAGAAAACGTTGCAGGGGAATCCCCTATAGGAAGTGAGATCCGAGCGTCGCCTAATATAACCCTGCCCTGGGGTTGAATGGTCGGCAACTAGGACTCTCGATGATGGAATTTCTTTGAGATGGAGAAGAATGCAGAACTCGGGACACCCCAGCTATCAGAGTCTGGCTGGGCCCCGCATCTCCGCTTCTCATTTTGAAGATGTTGCACCGCTATTGATCGGCGGTGAAGATGTTCCAGGACCTTGGCTAGCTCTTCCGTCTCCCCTCCCTCTGCCCTTGCCATTGGCCTCCGCTCTCCGCCCACACTGCGACCCTGCATATGTCAAGACGAATACCCCCATCTTGGTCCATCTTGAGCATGGCCATGCATTTGGGCTGCGCGTATTAGGAATGAGAAGGGGGGTGTTCGAAACATGGTTGGCTGGAGCTCGTCAGAGCTGGTAGAGCCAGAGGCTGCCCAGAGAGAACATCTGCATTACGAATTGTCCGTCCTTGTTCTGGTGGGGGAGAGTAGGATTGCTATGCTACGCTATAAAGTCTCGAGGGTCCTTCATTCGGCTTCATTGCCGCCTCATTTTCTCCCCAGTCATTAGCATATCGTTGTGCAGAATTTCAAAATGCTTCGATCTCGTTTCCCATCAGCTCATCACTTCACTGTGTCAATCTTCGGATGCCAGTATCATGCCGACTCACCCTCACCTGAGAAACTATCTCTCATCAACAAGTTCGACGGACTCATCAAGGCCGCCGCGATTCATGTCGAAGAGCTCGAGCAAAATGACCTCCCCTCCAAGGTCTGGATGAGCTACTGGAAGTCTCCCCAGGTTTTCAAGGCATGGTGGGAGAGCCCGGAAACTTCGGCCTTCTGGGCCGCTCTGCCTGAGAACGCTGGTTTCTGGAGAGAGACCGTGAGCTTGCCCGCCACGAGATCAATGTACGAATCCAACAAGGAGCAACCTTCTGGTTTCGGCCACTGCGGAGAGCTGATCCCCCTCACTTCGAAAACGGGATACTGGGGCGCCTACCGCTCGCGTATGACCCCTGATGGCCCGGAAGACAAGTTCGAGTCTCCTCTGCCTGCGGTACCCGAGGCTCGTCCTTTGACGGACAAGATCCGCCCCGGAAGGGTCAGAGTGTCCAAGTTCCCTGACAACATCTCCTTTGTTGTCGAGGGCCAAGACTACAGTGCCATGAATGATAACGAGCGCGAACACTGGAACGAGAACTTCGACGGTCTGACCAAGCAATGGGTCACCAATGTCATGAACGCTGGTCCCGCCGGTGGGATGGTTTCTTCAAGGGCCTGCCACGCCTTCGCGGGTGACAAGCAACCTGGTGCTACGAAAAGCGCTGTCAACGGCGCCTCAACCAACGGCACTAATGGTACAAATGGTACCAACGGAACTTTGACAAATGGACACGGCAACGGAATCTTCCCCGGCTTGGACTACATTCGTCAGGCCCAGATCCTCTTTTGGCTTGACCTTTCCAAAATGGAACACATCGGCAGAACGGATAAGGTTCACGTCAAGCTCAGACGCGACTTTTTCGCTGCATACGGGCCTGGTGGAGTTATGGAGGGTGGTGATTTGCTGCTTTGGGTTGATGTGGCAGTTCTGAAGGGTGAAGAGATGGACGCGGAGTATGTTGGGTGCTATGATGGAACAGGATTTCTTGCATACGACGACCACCCCGCGTTCGCGAGCGAAAAGGTGGACATCGCCAAGCTGCCAGCGTTTTTCGACGCGCCGATCAAGTCCCAGCCCATTGAGTGGTAAAGCGTAATAGTAATAATGTGTCATCTCATGTTTGTGTCAAAATCGTCCACGTAACCCTCCTTTGTAGGTGACCTTTCACGATAAACAGACGAAGAGCCTCCTCTAGCAGCCGGTGGGCACAGATAGCAGAGAAGCATTCCGTCTTGGGTGCTCGCTGCTCCGTGCTCCACGTTCATCCGGTATATTACGAGGCCAAAATTTCGCTCAATCAGGAACTGCACATTCACAATCAGCAAGTGTTTCCGAGTGGGGGGTGGGCCGGGATTGAGTCAGTGGTTGAGAATAGAGTTCACAGGGGCCCCTGTTCCAAGTCGGCCCAGTTCCCCGGACGGGACCGTTCTTCAGCAACGACTAATAGAAATGCAACGTGCATGGGGTCCGCCGGCCGGCAACCTCGTCGCGGCCCAACGGGCCAGAAGGCGAGACCACGGGAGGGATCTATTGTCTTACCAGAAATGGTCTGGTTTTGGGGGATGTGCGACCGTCGCCGAGATCTAACCTGCCCATCCGCTGATTGTGGTTGGGAATTTGGTCCCTAGTGGTTCCCGTTTCTGATGATCCAACGGTTTTAACAAGCATCTTATGACCCATCATTACAACTTCATAGTTCACGTAACCAGCTACTGGCCAAACTCTCCATTATTACGAATCCCGCATGGCACGAAAGTCATGTTATGTCGTTTTCTCCGATGCCACGCAAATGCCTCAGGAGCCCTTGCTTTCTGCTGCCAAGTCAGTTTGACGTTCCCTTCCGCGGGCCAATGCAGTCCTTGTCTGCCAGCTTGCTAAGTCATGTCCCATGAGCAGAACTTTCTAATGTGGAAATGTGCTTGCCGATCTCCACACCCTGACCTCTCAAACAATCTACTTCGGCCAGATACGTTCAGAGAGGAAGAGAGAAAAGGGGGTTCTCTCGTCATTACCGATTCAGCACTGTGGACCTATGTTGTCTCCTCCAACCCTGAGAACGCTTTCCTGTAACGTAGAATTACTACCTGAGTCCACAATCACGGTTCACTATCTTTATGTCTTCCAGTCGTTCCCCTGGACCTAATGAACGAGGGTTTGGTCGATCCTAACTGCCGATTGCAGGTTGGAAGTAACCTGCAGATGGGTCCTGCAGGCGGCAGACTCTGCAACCTTTTCGCGACCCGATTCTTAAGCACGAGCTGCCCAAAACTGGCGTCTGTCTAGCCGGTTCAGCATTACCCGCAGGTCTACTCCTTCAACTTTTTGGAAGCGCTTTGTTTTTGCCTATCCCCGATTAAGAACGAGTGTGTGTGTGTGCGTGCATTTGCGGTCAGCTCCGACAACCCGCAACAATGGCGGTCGCTGAAGCGTTGATGCCGGCGGTGATTGAGATGTGGGTGGAATATGCCATTGGAATTTTGGTTCTTTTTCTACGAATCTTCACGAGATGTAAGAAGGTGGTGGGTTTCAAATGGCAAGGCGACGACTATTTGGCCGTGGCGGCCATTTTATTCTTCACGGTTAGTTTATTGTCTCAATCGGGAACCCCTATTCCCAACCACACCACGGAGCGGGCTCCGCTGACAACACCATGAACCTTAGTTAGAGGTTATGATGTGTCAAATCATCGGTAAGAACAGACTCTTGTATGCCAAGAAACTTTACTTTTGTTCTAACGACCACTTTCTAGTTGAGAAGGGAAGCATCACGGGTATGACCGACGAGATCGCGTTGAGCCTCACGCCAGAACAATACAAGAGCCACGAAACGGGAGCGAAATGGCTTTTCGCTGCGTGGTATGTCTACGTTAGCATGATTTGGAGTCTGAAGGGCATCATGCTCTTCTTCTTTTCCAGAGTCACGTAAGTTGCTGTTCATCGTTTTCCTGCGGAACAGACGCTAAACAACGATTGGGCAGAAAAACTCTGCCAGAGGAACGCCTGGTCAAGGTGGTGTCCGTCATTACCGTCTTTGCCTACTTGGCCACACTTGCGGTTGTTACAGGACATTGCCGTCCTATGCACAAGCTTTGGCAAGTGTATCCCTATGCCGGAGGTAAGGAAGATACTGTGACGTTTCGAAACGCGTTGGACGGCGAGAATCTAATGTCCTGTAGATGACTGCACGCAAAACACCTCCAAATATTACGCGTTGGTGACTACAAACGTCGTGTAAGTACTGATGGATCTGGAACATTCATCGTATTCCTTAGCTGACGCGTGTGCCTAGAACCGACATCATGATCATGTACATTCCCATCCCGTTGTTGTGGAGGTTGCAGACCACTCTTCAAAAGTAAGTTGCAACTGAACGCCAAAGGGTCTGTGATTCTAACAAGCCGTAGAAAACTTGCATTCGGCCTAATGTTCTGTGCCGGTTTCTTTATCGTAATTTGCACGCTATTGCGGTGCATCATCTGCTTGAGCACCCCCGAACGACTTGACTTGGGATTGAACTGGTCCATCCGTGAGACGGTAAGCTCAATATTCATCGCTTCTTAGGTCTTGATCGTCATTTTGGCTAATCAATTTCCGATCAGGTTGTTGCGATTATCTGCACGAACGCTCCGTCAATCAAGCCGCTTTTTCCCCATCGACGCACCGGCTCCACGAATCCGAGTACTCCCCACTCCGGCCTGGTCACATTCGGCGGCACCGGCAGCTCACACAAGATGTCACGCGTCAGAAATGGCCATCAGAAGCTCGACGACACATCCGTTGGCAGTCAGGAACATATTGTCAACCCAAAGGGCGCCAGGAGCCAGACCACGGCGTTTGCGGACGACCGAAGTTCCGATGACGGAGGAAACTATAACTCGGGTATTCAGGTCACTAAGGATTACCACGTTGAGGTTGGCCGATAATGAGATAGTAGGAGCTACTAATGTGTGAATTCCGAGGCAAGCTCTACGCAGGATTACAGAGCTGCTCTGGCGGTTAAACTCCATCCATCTGGTGCCTGCTGGTGGAAAAGAGTCAAGATGTATAATACATGTACATATTGCGAGCCGTCCTCCTACGGCTGGCCGGTTGGGTACGAATTAATGACGTTCTGGTAACGAAAGACTCGAGTGACTGGGAAAGTTCATGATCATCAAACGCTACGTGAGAATTTGACATCCATCTGGCATCGTCACTTGTGTGGGGGCAAGCAGTTGGTATGGACAGGGAGTAGAGCTAAGAAACGGCATAACTCCTTAGCAAATCTTGACAACACGGGCAGGGTGCTCAGGTAACAACAGCCTCTTGATCAGGAAACACGCATTGTGTATGGACGGCTAGCGCTCCTCTCTCGAGTCATTACAAACCTCGCCAGACTGTCTCAATACATGAATGCAAGAATATCCCATTTTGGAGCCCCGAGCAATCGTTTCAAGCCTTGCATCCGCCGCTGCATCTCAGTCCCCACTACGTCTTAGATACCAACAGACTGAGGTCCTTGACGTCTTCAAGGTCTTTCAAGCAGGTCTCATGCTTCTGCTTGATAAAGCCCCAAGCCGGTCCACCGAGTGGAACACGCAAAGGGATGCGTTTCTTGCGAGACGCAATGCTGAAGATAGCGTCTGCAATCGCAGACGGCTTGGTAAGAGTTCCCGACTTGATACCCATCTCCACGTATTTCTCGAGAACACGTGCCGGCATATCTTTCTCGGCATAAGCTGGATGAGGCTCAGTCCGCGCCTTGCTATGCCCCTCGAAATTTGTCTGGACACCACTCGGCTCTACAATACAAAAGTTTACTGAAATACGTCAGCGACTCCTGCAATTTTTTATGCGAGATATGATGCCAGCTTACTGTTCCAATCAGGATGCATCTCCTTTGCCACAGACTCAGTCCACCCTTCGACGGCCCACTTCCCCGCGTGGTAGTACGCGTGACCCGGAAAGGCGCATTGTCCAGCAAGAGAGGAAATGTTGAAGATAATACCGCCTCGTCGGGTTTCAGACTGTCGCATGTTCTCGATGGCACAAGTAGTCATCCGAGCCGTACCGAAGAAGAGGGTCTCAATCTCCTGGTGAGCTTGTTCCTCTGTCGCAGACTCAGTATCGCCGGACAACGAATACCCGGCATTGTTCACCAAGACATCGAGATGAAAATCTTTGCCAAAGTGTTCGGTTGCGGCTTTGAATGCCTCTTTCACCGAGGTTGGTGATGTCACGTCAAGGGCAAGTTTGAGGAGGTTGACATTGTCATCGGGCAGGTAATCCAGGTCCTTAGGATTCCGAGCTGTTGCGACCAAGCGATGGTTCGGTTTGCTTGCGACTAGAGCTGCCAGTGCTTGGCCGATACCCGACGAACATCCGGTGACTGGTAGTGTGTCAGTTGTGTGAACCTAAGCCATTCTCACCATAGCAACTTACTCAACCAGATTGCGTCCGGGGGAAGAGTGTACGGTTTGGTGCTAACCGGGTTCATATTGACGTTGGAAATTGAAATTTTCGAGGTGCTATTGACGATCGAGTCCGGTAAAGAAAAGGTAGATGTGAGAGAGTATGCTAGCTGTGGCTATCCTTTTCTTTCTCAACGTCTCTGTCCCAGATTCGACTTCATCGTCGCGGATCTGATCTCTTGGGCTTTATAGTCCTGACTCGTGGGCTCACACATTTCGATGTTGACTTGAGATCCAATTGATTTTTCGGCTCCAAATTGTGGCGCAGATAGGATTCAAGGTGCTGACAGCCCAAACCCGATTCTTCTCACCGTGCCGGTCGGGTGACTCAAGCGGTATCGGTCAGACTGCAATGCAACGGTATTCGCATTCGCATCTGGCAACATACCGCAAAGCACATGATTACTTAAGAAAACAATGCTCGCACTCGGCTATGCCCATTGACACTGGTCTCGCATTTTCTTCGCACTCGAACAATTCCCTCAGGCATTGATTGGTCTCCCATTTTATTTATGTCCAACATTGCATCTTCGAAGTCAAGCTTTGGAATGCAACGATCAACAGGATTCGTTTTCCGCTCTTCCAAGTTTTTCAAGAACAAGCAAGCATATGGAAACATTTGGTCGTCTGCATTCTTACCCAATAGTTGAGCTTTGAAGTGTCATTATCTCCGTCGCAGGCCCACCTACATCGTCTGACAGACAACGCGCGTCTGATGTGCCACGCTTAATCCACAGACTAAGCGTTATTATTGGCCCAGAGACATAGCTCCAGACGACTCTAAGGTGTAATGCCATATAAAGGTTCTGCCAGTCCTAATAGAGCTGGGACGATGAAGGCCTGTTAGTGGGCGTAGACTCGCGCCACGGCGAAGGCCTTAGGACGAGATTGAGCTGTGAGGTTAGAAGCCCCTACTCTCAAACAAAGTTGACAAATGTGTTGCGGACGAAATAGATAACAAAGAGTACCCGGAGTTCATGGTTGTGTCTGTTCATCCAGCACCATTTCGGCGACTGGCATGATGGGCTTGCCGCTCATTTAAAGCTATGCAATACTTGACATGTTTCGCGAATCGTCGTCCCGTAATTTCCGTCGAAAAGATCGAAAAAGCGCAGAGACCGACGTTGGGCATCCATCTTAGGTCAAGCTAGGAGCGGAGATTACTACGAGCCTATTGAAGCCTGGTGGGTTGCGAGCAAGGACGAACACGACAAAGACAAGGCTAGAAAGCCGTGGGACTGGACCCAACTGAGTCACAAGTGCATGCATGTGAGACTTGAGAAATATTCTGACTAGTGTTTATACGGTGATGATTCCAGCTACGAGTGCGAGTTGCCGGCATTATTATTTGATGGAAGCAAATATGCGAATCCATTCTGGCATTTCTACATAGGCCGAAAGTTCAGATTAGGTTACATCAATAAATTTCTTTGTTTTCCTCTTCTGCATAATATCCGAACTACCTACATGAGCATCGTGTCCAAGCATTGAAGTGACATTCGCACTCGCGGAACTAAAATGACGATATGCATGAAGATTTCAAATGGGATAGATAGTCTATTTTCCAAGTTCAGCGCCTGTCTTTTACTTTTTCATAGCTTGTACGCAGCCGGGTAATAGACTTTAGTAAGTTCAATTAGAGAATATGGTTAGAAAATGATGGGATATGTTCGTAGCTGGAGACTTGTTGCTTCGTCACGCAATTATAGATTTGATTGGAGGTTTATCAGATGACGGTTACTTTCTTCTAGTGTCGGATTAAGTTTTACCTGGTTGAGTTCGTCAAGTCACTATGTCAGTGAGCTTTACAATGACGAAGAACCCTGACTGAAGCCGTGGCAAAAGTCGCCCACAAAAGGGTTCTGAAAGTCTGGTCTTTTCGTATTCATACATCATCTCATAGTTCCTACTTAATCAGCTCACTTACTCAGCTCCAAGGCAAACGAGAAATGGAGGTGGCTGGAACCGAATCAAGTTGCAACTGGTCACACGAGACTTTGGTTAGTGGGGAAGCCCGCAGCACAACGGGCACTTAACATCTCCACCCCACAAAAAATAGCCAGAGCCTTGAGCAAACCCTGCGCGCAACAACGCCATGTCTCCGAGTCCACACCTCACCGCCTACTTCAACCGCATTGTCGCCGCGGCTCCTTGACGCCAATGGCCGCGGAGAGAGACGCCTCGCCCCCACGGCAGCTGCCGGACGCCGAACCGGAAGAGCTGTATGGCCAAGAGGTACGCCTGGAAGAGGAGGCTTTTGCTTGGTATAATCCCGACAAGTGGTACCCGATCCAGATTGGCCAGGTCTATGAGTCGCGATATCAGGTGCTGCTGAAATTGGGGTTTGGCTCTGCGTCGACGGTGTGGTTGTGTCGCGATCTTGAGTATGTGCGCGATTCATTTCTATGCTTGTTGTTGTTTCGAGAGCTACTTTGCTAACTGGTGGTTTAGGAAGCATTGCTATGTAACTTTGAAAGTCTATGAGACTGGTCATCGGCAGGCTCGTAACGAGGAAGTGGTCCTTCGCCACTTGGAACGCCTCGAGTCTGAGCACCCAGGACAGAAACTCCTTCGCTCCATCAAGGACAGTTTTGAGCTGCAAGGGAAAATCGGCCCGCATGTTTGTCTGGTCTTCGAGACTCTAGGCTTATCCCTGGCCGATATTCGAGAGTTGGCAGGCGGCAAGCTGCCAGAGAATCTCTTAAAAGGGTTGATATACGGCTTGTTACTGGGCATTGACTATATGCATTCAGTTGCACATGTCGTCCATACAGGTGAGGATGATTATGCTCCTGCAACACTTCACCATCATGCGCCTTAGAAGCTGAGGTGTTCTCTGCATCGGGGCATAGATCTGCTTCACTAACACACGCGTCAGATATTCAAGATGGAAACATTATGCTCTCAATTTCAGACACGACAATCTTGGATGTCCTAGTGAACGAAGAATGGAGGCTTCCAAGCGCGAGAAAAGTCATGAGTGATCGTACCACCTACGCATCAACGGGGCTCGAGATCCCAGATGATCCAGGCGATCCTGTCATCTCAGATTTCGGCGATGCGCAATACGGAGAAGGCGACTTCGATGGCGAGGTGATGCCAGATCTCTACCGCGCGCCCGAGATCATCCTCGGAATTCCCTGGGACGAAAAGATTGATATCTGGGCTTTGGGATTGATGGTGAGAGATTCGTCTGCGGCGAGGGGCCTGCCAAATGCTGACACTGATTTTCACCGTTGCCAGGTTTGGGATTTGTTCGAGGGGAAGCTACTCTACAACACACGACACCGCGATCGGAATGCATCCCGGGCAGCCCACTTTGCGAGGACGGTGTCTTTGCTCGGACCACCGCCCGATGATCTTCTGGATAGAGGGTCGACATGGAAAGACTTTTTTGACGATGGAGGTTTGTTGATGACCGTGCGAGTGGTTTGCAATGTAGGCCGGGTGAGACTGACGCGCGAGAGACAGGAAAACTAGTTGTCGACGGTGAGATACCAGAGTCCTCGTTCGAGGAGGAAGAGTGTAATCTCGAGGGAGCGGAGCAAGCCGAGTTCTTGGTGTTTCTGAGGAAGATGCTGCAGTGGAAACCAGAGGATAGGTTATCCGCCCGAGAACTGATGGAGGACCCGTGGCTGTGTCGGCAGACGGCTGATGACTGAAGGGAGACTTAATTAGATGAGGATGAAGACCCAAAAGGCTTGAACAGAGAAAGGAAGACGGTTGATAGGAAGGAGAAGAAGATACCCCATTGATTTGATGTCTCGATGATCCCAGCTTCTTGAGAAGTTGAGGTCCAAAGGCGTTCTTTCAAATTGCTTGGTCAAGTGTCTCATCAGGACGTCTTTCATAAATGATGAGAGGCGTCTGATAAGTCATAGACACTAAATATAGACATCCTTGAACATCACAATGAAACCACGATCATCCGAACGGGGCATTCAGTGAGTCTGCTCAGTTATGAAGAAGAATTAGATCATTAGAATTATTCCAAACATGCTTCTATATGCTCCGTGTCCCATTTTCATCCCGAAATAGCATCCCAATCCCCATCATCATGGTCAATGACCGGGAAGGGTTTTCTAGGCGCCGGAACTATGCGAAAGTGCGAAGCATCCATCAAAGGAGTGTCGTGAAAGCATAACAGCCAAATCATCGTAAAAGTCGTGTGAAGCGTCGGCAATTATGTGCGGATGGAATTGAGCCCCGCGTTGGAACTCTGGTTACCCATGAACCGTGGTTTAGAATGGTCCCGTCTAAGCGACCGCGGAGATCTCCTTGATCGGGGTAGGCAGCGTGATGATGCCGCAGTTGATGTTGCGCGTCGAGTAAATCTGGCCAATGGTCCAGTTGTCGTTTTGCCAAAACGTCTCCCCGCACTGGAGATCGGCGACGGCGCCGCCCTTTGCGGTGTAGCGGGCTCTGGTTGTTCACATTCCAATTAGCCTAGGCGTTTCTTATGGCAAACCGTACTCCGTGACGCTTTCGGCGCAAATGTTTCATCGCCAGGGGAAACCCCACGAGGTAGAAGGCGAACCGGTAGGGAGTTGAGAGGATGTGACTTACGGGTACTTGGGATCATCATTACAAGTCCACGACTGGTTCAACGCAACAGCCTTCTCAGGCGTGCTCCACGTGAAGGACGTGGCCGTGCTCTCCCCGCCCTCGGGCGGCGTGCACTGATAGACCTGCTCGCCATAGAAGAAGTCGTTGAGACGGCTGCTGGCGGCGGAGCAGGCGACGGTGTAGTCGAGGACCGGATTGGAGACGTTGAAGCTGATGTAGCCCCACGAGTTCTGGTGGGAAGGCGTGCTGAAGATGTAGCTGGCGTGGTAGTCGAAACCCGTGAGCGTCCACTCGGAGAGCTTGCCTGATTTCTGGCCGCACGTCTCCTCGCGCTGGGCGATGGGGGAGGCAAGGGCTGGGGCGAGGAGAAGGAGGCTGGCAAGGAAGTGCATTTTGAGGGTTGGTGAGGGTTGTGATGGGTTGAGGGGTCTTTAATTTGAGAGGATGAGTTTATGTTTCCTATGAAGTGGGATTAGGTGGGATGAAATGAGATGAGACGGAAGAAAGCTTGATGCTGTGATGCCAAATCTCAGGACTTTAGACGAGGAACATCACGCAGGTATAAGTACACATCGCATCGTCAAACTTTTTACCAATCCTCTCGACATTGACAAAAGATCGCCAGTTGACTTTCCACACAGCATGCCATCAAAGAGCCTAAACCCGGGAGTCCCAGCCATCCATTGCATGAAAGTCGGTAAGGCCGGAGAGGTGGCACCGTTGAACCATGACGTAGCACAAAGGGTACCATTCTCGTATTTCCTGCGTCCGCAGTCAACAGGATGGACCGTGTCGCCGTCAAGCGACATCCTTTCTCACCTATCCCATCCCATCCCCTCTTCCCCCACAAACGCGGCGTAGATCGTGCCCGTTGGCAGACAAGCGGGAGAAACAAAAAGAGGGGTGAGGGGGGTTCGCATCGCTCACTCGTACGGTAGGTAGAATGGGTGAAGACGGCGCTGAGCGGAGCATGGGGGTTGGAAGAGCGATCAAAATTGCCCGATTCCGGCTTGTCGCTGCAGGCACCATTCTGGTTCGGGTTGGGGCGAAATGTGTATTATTAGAAGAATTGTCTCTCGTCCTCATGATTTCACTATATTTTCACGTAAACTCAGCTGGGGCCTGCCTAGTGCTCGGCTCGGCAGCTGACAGCTAGCAAGCTAGCAGCTTTTTCGAACAGCGTGTGCCCTGGAGCGGACTGCCGATCGCTGGCTCGTGTTGAACACAGCAAAGGAGGATGCCAGTGGGATGGGATGGATATGCATGAATGGTCTCAATGACAGTCCCTCTTGCTTGCGGCGGCGACCTTGCTGATAGTCACGGGTACACCTTGGACGTTTCGAGTAGCGGATGGGACGATTCTAGGGTCTCGTTGTTCCTCTTCGTCTGATCCCAATCAGTTGTCAAAGACCGGATGGGATTTCCTCGGTCAGATTCTGGATTACGAGGGAAGAATAGATGAACCGCGCCCTCCTCGGTGGCTCCTTGTGATGCAAACGCTGGCAGATACGACCAGGAAGATCGATGACCTGGAACCTGCATGGAGCCAGGCTGCAAGATATGCATATCGCTGCGTTTGTTTTTCTGGTCCCATCCGTCATGCGGTGCAGTCAAGTCGCAATGGTCAAAGTGACTTCGTTTCCAGCCGCATCTCCACTGAAGAACCACTTGTCGGATCGGCGCTTGTCATGCTCGTCATGCCATCCTCGGCTCCGGTGGGCGGGCGGCGCGCTCAACTCATTGACGAGCGGACAAAGCCGGTCGTGCCTATTGTCAAAGTGCCTGTCAACCAGCCACTGCCGCCCAGACGAAGGATCTTGGCGGGTGGCTCTGTCGGACTGGACGGAAAGCAGTGAATCCGATCGTCACTCAAACGTTTTTATTCCGCCTCAAACCCTCGTGGGAACGTTACACCTCGCTGCGGTTGTGTTCAGTCTTCACCGACTTCATGGGTCTGGGACCCCAGGGCCGCCGAACAATCTTTGGTCCTTTTCCGACTTGTGACTCTCTCGTAAATGAACCCTCTCTCGAGATGGATGTTTTGTGTTTTGGGTAAATGCAGGAACACATCGCCGCCGGGATCTGACCGCTCAATGCACACCCGAGAAAAGAGGAAGCGGCTGAAGATGGCGGTCTGTCACTATCCATACCCAGACGGCGAAGAAACTACGATTCTTGTTTGTGCTGCAATGATCGTGACGAGATTCGCATTTTAGAGTTGGTGACCCCTTGGTTGTGCAGGTGGCTGAAGCACCAGCCACAGCTAGGAGCTGGGAGTGTATGACCAGGGGTGATGACTAAGTGTGGCACAGAGGTGTGGCGGTATCAGCCACCCATCTCCTAACTGTGGCCGATATGACCCGAAAATGCCGGAGTAAACAATCCGCTTGAGTCGGACGCATCCCGGAAACGGCAGATGAGCCAACCCGTCAGAATGCCTCTTTGCTCCACGGTCGGCGGCCAAACACGGGTCCGCCACATGCCTCCATATCCAACTCCGAGAGGTCAGGAAATCCGGAGCTACCCTACTTAAGGTGGTATCTCTTCAATCACGAGCGCGATAAAAGCGATAAGATCAAACTGATGTGCACAGCCAATGGAAGCTCAAGCGTTAAAGATCAGGGTTCATGGAGGGGTAACGCAACCGTTCCAAAGTTGAAAGATGGAGATTCTAGCCTGCAAGATCCCACGGGGGGCTGAAGGATTCCACGAATAAGAGTCGATAAGAATCCACGTTGCTGATTTTCCACTCTAGCCTCGAGGCCCGATGTGAGCTTCAAGAACCGATCCGGCGAACAGTCAGCCCCACGTGTCGACATGGTTTGTCGCTAGGGAAAGGATGCGGCGGTGGGGCTGTCACAGCATCAATCTCGACACAATGGAGGGGTAGAAAATTCTAGACATCGCTCATGTTAGGCATATAGCGCCGCGGCAGCTGCGAGCTCTATCACATCTGATGTTCATGCTCATCCAAACTTTATGTGTTATCGAGAACCTCAGAGGCGCTTTTACCGCGAGTCCAAAAGTCCATAGGGTGGAATGAATCGCATGCAGTTGCCGCTGCTCTTCAGATGCCCCTTGATATATATCGTGAGTTGCAACGTGCTCGCCACGCTTCGAATGGCATTGGAGCACGTCAAAACAAACAAGGCACCGCTGTAGGTCGTGATCACGTCTTCGCCGAGACCTCTTCTGCCGTCGCCATCATGAACAAAGTCGCCCTTTTGACCTCGTCCAAACACGAGCCTGGCGTGACCATCCGCCAACGGTCGGATCTCGTTGCCGCACTCGGGCCTACCTTTGACATCGCGGTCCGCTTCCAAAGAGTAGTGGCCGTGGCGTCGTCGCTGCTTTTCCTCTACGCACACCTTCTGGCCACCTCTACCCTCACATCGGCAGTCATAGCAACCCGACTCTTCGCCGTCCATTCGCTATTTGCCATCAAGAAGACGACGACAGCATTCCGCACGTCCATGAGACATGTATGGGAATCCAGACGGATTCAGAAGTTGAGGAAGAAGGTCTTCATGGAGTTTGCAACAACAATACTGGGCCCGGGAGGTAACATGCTGATCGTCATGGTCTTCTGGCCGGGATGGCTGTTTATCCTGGGTATCGTCTTGACTCTTCGCACGCTGTCGGGATGAACGCGCAAGGACGCCGCTCGTGGCGTAACTCTTTCTCCCTCAGCGGTCCTTTGATTCAGGCTCGCCAAATGTTGCCGACAGTACGGGCTTCACCTCGAAAAGAAGAACGTGTTGCCGCCGGCATCCTTCCGCACCTCCGTGTCATAGTCCTTCTCGGGGTCAAACTCTTGCCACATGCTCGCTGGATAGATGTGCTTATTGCGCTCATACCAGCGCCGATCCACCACTTTCGTCAGGGTAGGGTCGTCTGTGGCACCTTCAAGGGTGTTGATGTCAGGCAGGGCCCTGACTGCAGCCGCCTTGAGAGCAGCTGCGGTGGTCAGGCCGCCAGATGGGGCAGCTGGGGCTTCGTCTGGTTCCGGTCCGTCTTTCTTGGGCGGCGCGTCGGCTTTGTAGCTGAACAGTTGTTGGCCACCTGGGCCAGCATTCCTGTTGATGATGAAGAAATAGAACTCATAGTGCTATAGAGGATTAGTGAAAGACTCGAAAATATAGAAGCATATTTGACTCACATGTGGAATGATGATGGACCCCCGGACGAGCATCAGGTCGTCCACACCAACTCTCGCCCATTCTCTTCGTGCATTGGCCTTCTCTCCCACGCCTAACTCGGCGCCAACTTTTCTACTCTTGTCCAAGAAAACCCAGATGTAGTCGCCCTTCTTGACACGGACAGTGCCACCAGGTATATTCGATCCATCGTAAAACACAAATGGTATCGCAATTTCCGTCGCCTTGACGGCCTCCTGTATCGCGAGGAACTCCTTGCGCAGCGCCTCTCTCTCGGCCGCCTCGCGTCGCAAGGCTGCTTTCGACATGACCTTGGGCACAAACGCGACGGACGAGTTGGCAACGACTTTGGACTTCTTTATGGTTGCGCTTTTCTCATCCTCGTCTTCATCTGCTTTCATGCCTTTCTTTACTGGCAGCGAACCCTCCTCTTCCTCTTCATCGTCGCCAAAAGATAGCTTGCTGCCGCCGAGCTTCTTCTTCTTCTTTTTGGATTTGGTCGCACCGCTGGCCGAGTCGCTCCCGGGGTCTGGGGTCGCGGAATTGGATCGGTCTGGTGTGGATGTGCCGGACAGGGCGGCTTCTCGTTCGCGGTCTTGCTGGTCGAGGACCTCGGCGCGTCGCTTGCGAAAGTCGGAGAGCGCGACGAGGCCTACGGTGCTGTCTGAGATGCGCTCAGTTGTTGTCTTGTTGGACGGCGTAAACCGTGAGCTCGCTGGGTCGGGCATTGTGTATCTGTAGAGGGAATTGGCAACGGCGCGGTGGTGTTGGCTTTGCGAAAGACTGGAAAGGCTTCACACCTGGTTGAGCTCTGGCAGAAAGTGACGCCGCGGGAAAAAGCGAAGCTGCCAATGTGTGGCTGAGGCCTCGAGTTAGCGCCACACTTAAAACGGTGTGATGGACCCACATCCCGCAGTGGGTCCCGTTCGCTGGCAAGCCCCCACTTTTATGCCGCCTTCACCTTCCCGTCACCTTCCCTCCGCCTTCGCCCTGCAGTGAGCTGAGTTGTTTCCAGCTCTTCTCCAAGTTCGCTCCCCCGCCACCTCATTAATTTCTCGTTGCTCATATCATCCTCATCCCTTGTCCATAGACTTGCCATTCTTTGTTCCTTGCTTTTGTTCTGTTGTTCTTTCGTTGCGGTTGTGCTCTGATCTGAGAGACCCGCCTCCACTCCCGCCTGATCCGCTCTGCTCCAGTCGCAGCCCGAAAGACACTATCTCTCACCACCGCTAAGTAACCCTAGGGTGTCCTGCTTCCCGGGACTATGGACAGCCGGCCGGTTGCAACGGCGCCTGGTCCGTACATTGGACCCGGTTCCTACCCTCCACCACCGTCTGGAGCGCCGCCGGGGGTCTCAGTCGACCCGTACTCTCGGCCGCCTCAGTCTACCACACCCACGGCTCCATACCCTGGGACAGTCTATGGAGGACCGCCTCCTGGACCGACGAGTATAGCTCCAGTTGAGCACATGTCTGGCCCTGCAGCCTATCCAAATCCTTACCCTCAAAAGGCCAGCATGGTGGAGGGTCCGCGCCCTTCAGCTGCCCTGAACCCTCTTACTACGACGACGCAGGACCTGAAAACGGTCAAGACCGGGACCCAATTTGCTCTTCGGGAGTATTTGTCTCTGCAAAGAAAGAGAGGCCGACTGGATGGTGCCATGTCGTTAGAGTTGGAGGATCAAATCAGGGCCCAAGGTCGTGTCCTGCTAGGTGATCTTAAGGTCTTGCGGAAGGAGGTTGGAACCCTAATCAAAGATGGCGAAAATCACCGCTGGAGAAACTGGCTCATCGGTGGGGCTGTGTAAGATCTCATGATGCGGCAGATCGTGGGACCTCGCTGACAACTGCCTATAGAGCAACCTTTATCCCAGCCGTGAAGCGCATCTTCCGCCGCCCTTCTGATAAGACGGAAACCGACGTCCAAGCGTCTAACAGCACCGAGTACGCATTCTGGCGCAGCAAAGCACTGGTAGCCCGCATCAAGGATAGTCTCCTGGGCCGCAACAGCTTCGCCAGCATCGCCTTCTTTGTCTTTGCTGTACTCTACGTCTTCACCAATGAGGTTTCTTTGCAGGTGGCCAAGACCGTATCCAAGCGATTGAAGCGACTAAGTGCCAAGATCGAGAGAGGCGATGTTGAGGTTTTAGACCAGGACATGAAGCTGCTCGAAGGCTGGCGGTGGAGAGTTCTCATGTGGGGTCAGTGATTTACGCAAGGCATGATGCATATGTGAGCATGTATGACGGACATGAGAAAATGACAGCGTTGCATAGCATGGAAGCGTGCAAGTTTCGATTTGTTTTCGGAGCTTTATACAATTGAAGAATCAAATACAGACATGTTTGTGGTCATCAATACTTTACGACACAAGATAGCACTTCCGGTCTATCACCAGCTCGAAATACCAAGCCATCAAGTCTGGTCTCTGAATATTTCGACAAGTTGAACCACCTTCCTGTGTTACCTCTGTTTCGGTCGGCCACCCCAGGCCCGAGTCGATACATGAAAGGTTCTACTGTGACTAGAAGCAGAGGAAATTCGACCAAGGCTATGACTGAAACTTCTAACTCGTCAACCCTTGCATTTGAGTGACTGCAAGAAGACATTCTATAATACAGGTAGTAGAGGGCGAATTTTAGGAGACGTGTTGTTCAGGATGAACGCTGGTACTGCTTATAGCGATGACTCGCCAATCACTAGCGCATATTCGTCTATCCAATCTTCCCTCCGACTTGCTCCACTTCTCAAGAACTTACCACCAGTAACAATTTCTCTTCACTAACACGTCGCGAATGTCGAAGCCAAAGCAACTGTGATACCATCAGCTGAGCCGAATTTAATATTGACCCTCTCGTTGATCACTTTTATAAGAGTGTTTGATACTCTCGCGAACATCTTGTGTGTTGTCGTTTGCTACCGGTCTCGATCCAAAATTCGCTCGGTGACGGTGGATCGAGTAAAGACACCAACCACCCCAAAGAGCCATGACAGGCAAAAGACGAAGAAGCTCGGGGACCACTCCCTCCGCAGCCAACGATTTCAGCTTGCAAAATTTGATTCGAAGAGCTGATCGCGGACTCGCGGGTCGACTACCGGAGCCCGGTCCTCATGCAGACGTCTACTTCCGTAACCTCTACTCGACGGAACCTGACTTTGGGAAGCTAGGCCGCCAAGACCCAAAATTTGGCACTCTGTGCGTGACAAGATCAGGAGACTCTTCTTTACCTCAACTGACCGACTTTCACTCAGGCTCAAACGTGGAAATCTTGATTTCAATGATCCATGTGCCGTGATGCAGCTCACAAAGACGCTACTCAAAGCTGACTTTGGGCTGAATATTGAGCTACCCGACGATCGTTTGTGTCCACCAGTGGGTTCACTCCTCCAAACGTCTGGGACATCTCTTCATCACACTGCTGACAGCAAAAGGTACCAAACCGCCACAATTACCTTCTTTGGCTCAAGACCCTACTAGATAGCACTACCTACGGTGATCCGGATCAGGAAATCCTCGGGCTCGATATCGGCACCGGAGCAAGCTGTATCTACCCGCTTCTGGGATGTTCCCAGCGGAAATGGTCCTTCTTCGCGACGGGTATATTACTGTCCCTCAGATATTTTTGTTGAGATACTGATTAGCAGCAGACATTGACTCAAAGAGTCTGGAATTCGCCGAAAAGAACGTAGAGTTGAATAACCTTCAAAGTCGCATCTCCATCATTGCTCGTGCATCTCAAGATCCCATGATCCCTCTGGCCGATTTGGGCACAGAGTCGCTCACCTTCGTCATGACGAATCCCCCGTTCTACACATCCGAAGACGACCTCCTCAACTCGGCGAAGCAAAAGTCGCGCCCTCCTCTGACGGCATGCACCGGCGCCCCAGTGGAGATGGTGACAGACGGCGGCGAAGTCAAGTTCGTGTCCAAGATCCTTGAGGAATCACTCATCCTGCGCGAGAGGGTCCAATGGTACACGTCCATGTTTGGGAAACAATCGAGCCTCGAGGAGTTTATCGCAATTTTGAAAGAGAAGAGCATCGACAACTACGCAGTGACGGAATTTGTTCAAGGTAACAAAACGAGACGGTGGGCCGTCGCGTGGAGCTTCGGTACGATGAGGCCGTCAGAGGAGGCCGCGAGGGGCATGAAGGCTGCAATTTGGAAGAAGCTGCTCCCTCCGAGTGTGGAATCTGAGGTCACTACCTTTCCGCTTGGCACAGAGATAGGGAAGCTGCAAGACAAGATCCAAGAGCTCATGTCTTCATTGGAACTGGTCTCCTGGGAATGGGACCGTCAGAAGCTTCTCGGTATCGGCAGGGCGCGAGAGAATGTGTGGAGTCGCGCCTGGAGACGGAAGAAGATGCGGGAGGAACGAGAGGGCAAGGCTGCCATCGAGGGGTTGTCGAACTCTGAGGTATGCAAGCTTGGTTTCGAGATTGCGCTGGATGTCGGACGAGAGAGAACTATCCTGAGGTGCCGGTGGAGGGAGGGGCATGATCAGGCACTCTTTGACAGCTTCGGTGGTTTTCTCAAGACTCGCGTGGCCTTGTGATTGATCAGTCTCATCACTACCCGAACCAAAATTTGCGAGCGACAGGTTGTTTTCTCTTCCAAAACAACATCTATATATTATAGATAAGGTCGTGAGTCAGTGTCTGCACAACCAAGATTCCGTTGAAGCTTTCGGGCTGCTAAAGACTGTGGCAAAAGCCTTGCCCTTAATTGTGATCGATGGCTACACCATCGCCGTGAATAGCTCCTTCTTTGCCTAGTGCCTATGTCGTGCAGATGCCTTCAGCTCCGACTCACCTATAAATGGGAATTTAAACGGGAACAAAACTATTTCCTCATAAGGGCAGATAGAATGGCTCGTGAGTGTGAATCACAATCTTAATTGATTGCCATATCCAGTATGGGTACCTTAGCTGGCGGCGAACATCAGCTGGTCGGTGAACCGCGGCGTTATTGCATCTATCACATTCACTTCAACACTATTAGCGTTAGGAACACATATAAATACACCCTATCTATCAAGGAGGAAACATGGAGGTACGTCTCTTCATTATCACACTTGAACAAGTATCTCTCAAGAAGCTCTCATCTACCCAATCCTTTAGCCTTACTAAAGCAACTTCATCGAGCTTCTTAAAACGCCAAAGGCCAGCCACATTTACATCCCAACACTTACCAGAATGTGCATACCAATAAGATCAAAGACCTGCCGCCACGGGATTTCCAGGAATAGCTGCCCCGACTGTGCTCCTGCCTTGAGGCTTTGAAAATGGAACACGCCAAAAGTTTGGGGACTCAAGGTCGAAACCTTCCTATATACACCACGACAGGTTCTACCTTAATAGTCTATGTATACTACCGCATCTCGAGTGGCGCAGTCAAATGTAGCGAACCGGTTTCATAGGTCCATCCAGTACTTTAGTAATGAGATAACCTAAGTCTTTTTCACCTGTGCTTTTCCATGTAGTTTTCTATGAGCCCTTTGTCTCATAGTTATGCCCTCAATGTGACCCTCAAGTTTATCTGCGTTTCATGTGCTATCTAGGGCAAATTTGACCTTTCAATCCGCCATACCATAGTCTTTGGTGACTTCTAGAGCCTTGAAGGGCTTGCCGCAAAGACCCGATTGCTGTACCTTATGCCCAGAAGGTCGCGAGTACATGTAGTGCTGGCTAAAGATCATGGCTCTCTGGAAATCTCAAATGCACTAGTAGGACATGAACACGGTGGTGGCTCCCGCATCAATCTCCGCCCACGCGGTGGCCAGAAAGTCTTCCGGTTGAGTGAACTCGTACTCAGGCAAGAGCCGGTTCCACTCGTCAGAGCACTCCAGGTTACCAGCCACAATACCCCGCAGCATGCCAGAAAGCAGGCTAGGAGCGACGGAATCTAAGGTCTCGGGGGGTATCGATGGGTGCTCAACCTTGGGGAACCAAGGGGCCTTGACTACCCCTGCTTTGAGGTCGTCGGACTTGAGGTTGGTCACGTCGAAAGGCTCGCCTTTGTTGGCATATTAGTGACTTGTCCACAGAAGAAACAAAATGTCTGAGAGAAAGATGGATCGTGGGTAACAGTTCAGTCACCTACCACGTATCTTCTCGCCTAGCGCAATGAGCTGCGCGACTGATACCTGCGCGCCTTGGACGCCGCCGATGACAGGCCATTCGCCTTCATACTCCACAGCTAAAGCGACAACTCTAGCGAGATCCTGTGCGGTCGTAAAGGTAATAATGGCGTTTTCACCTCCATCAACGACAAGAGCGCGACGTTGATAGAAGTTAAAGGGTGTCTCGAAGAGCTGGACATGCTTGGAGGAGCTGAACGGATATGTCATATAGTTGGTGAACAATCCCGGCTGGAACAGACAGTATTCGAGGACCTAGCGTATCCAACTTCGATGAGTCACGTGTACCGGGTCAGGGTTGGGGTAGTTAACTTGAGAACGCGAATACCTTCTTGTCTTTGTTGATGGTTGCGAGGTACTTTCGAGTCTCTTCCTTGAAGCCGTACCAGAACATGTACTCCAGTTTGGAACTAGATCAATCAGATACGAAGTAGATGCATGAGACATGATGTAGAAGACTCACGAACCCCACTCGCTTGGGGCAAATCGTCTAACGCCAGCTTTGATGGATGCATCGATCAAATTCTTTTGCGTATCTCTCTGTGCGACGTTCGTTGGATCGACGGGTCCGGCGACAAAAGACAGAACAGTGTGAACTCCTTCCAGCACTTGAGACAAGTGGGCAACATCGTTGTAATTTGTCTTGATCCATTTAACTCCTGGGCCAAAATCGGTGGGAGGGACATCCTGCAAAAGTCAGCTAATTGTTGATAAAATATGGCGTGGGGGACAGGATTGAAGCAACTTTTCTAGATAAAATCAAGATTTCGTGCTTGCCTCTAGCTACCAGAGCATCTAGGATCTCTCGTCCAACATCTATCCAAGGCCTTCATTAGTCGGCGGCTAGAAAGACTGAAAAGTTGTCGGAACCTACTGCCAGAGCCGCCAGCAATCGCGATTCGGACCATTTTCATGCGTTGGTCTACTCTTGGGGGTTGGTTTTCTCAACTCTTGACTCTAGATTGTTGTCCTTCTTTGGATAGTCGATCCTACGCTTATTGGGTCTTTGCAAGATTGAAGGTAGATTGAAGGCAGCATCACAGGGCGAACGGCGCGGAATATATATATA